CCAATATATCTTGCAATCCCCATTGAGTTATGCTAATAACATAAACATAAGACAACTATGAATTAGGAGTACATATCACTTATGAAATTATGTTACCAAAAAGAAGAACCAGAATCACATCACACTCTAGATTGGCCTACAACTTACAGAAAATACAGGAGGCAGAAAGTCAAAGTAAATGACACCCTAGGATGCAACCAGCACAATCCAGTCTATGGGAAATTCTAAAGGATAAAGGATCTGTGTTCTTTAACAGAAACTGTTTTTTTTACTGAGGAAACCTGTAGATTTGAGAAGGCTTGTGAGACACATCAGTCACAAACACTCCACCCACAATAGCAACAATAGCATACACAATTTCAAGTGCATATTCAACATTCTCCAGGATAGACCACATGTTAGGTCACAAAAAAAAGTTTTGTGACCATTGAAATCACAATGAGTAACTTTTCCAATCACCATGGAATTAAAATCAGACATCAATAGTAGAAGGAAATCTTATAAACAAACAAAAAACAAAAACATAAATATGTCGAAATTACACATGACAAGAACCAAAGGGTCAACGAAGAAATTACGAAGGAAAATGAAAAATATCTGGAGACATACATAAATGAAGACACAATACCAAAACTTATGAGGTACAGTGAAAGCAGTGCTACAGAAAAATTTATAGTGATAAATGTTTACATTAATAAGATCTCAGGGCCTCCCCGGTGGTGCAGCGGTTGAGCGCTGGGTTGCGAAGCTGCCCGCGGCCTCTGCACGCCGGTTCGATCCCCGGCTGCTCCCCGGCCACCAGAGGAGGGTCCCACATGGCGCGCACCTCGCCTGAACGCCCGCTGCTCCCCTCAGCAGTGTACTTTCGGTCCTTCTGCCTGCTCTGCTCCCCGCTCTGGCTCTGGTGAAATCTCCGCACCCTCCCGTGCTTCTGACTGTACCCAGTGCATGTATAAAACAAAACAAACAAACAATAAATAAAGAAAAGCATGCTCTATAAAAAAAAAAAAATAAATAAAGATCTCAAACCAACAAGCTAACTAAACAACTTAAGGAATTAAAAAAGAACAAATAAACTTAAAGCTAGCAGAGCTAAATAAAAATATAATAATAAAAGTTAGAGATAATAAGGGACTAAGAAAAACCAAAGAGAATAACAAAACCCAGAGTTGCTACTTTAAAAGATAAACAAAATTGAAAAAAAACTTTAGCTTAATTAACAAATCAAAAAGAGAGACACACAAATAACTAAAATCAGATATGAAAAAGGAATGTTACTACAAAATAAAAGAATTATGAGAAAGACTACTACAATTATACAAAAACATTAGATGAACTTGATAAAATGGAAAAATCTAAACACATAAGTAAAACTAGACTAAACATGAACAGACTTGTAACCACGAAGGAGACTGAATTAGTCTGTAATCAGTAATCAGTAATGTGAAACTTCCACAATAAACAGTCCACAACCAGATGGCTTCACTGGTTAATTCTAACAAACATTTAAAGAATAATTAACAACTCTGGGCCTCCCTGGTGGCGCAGCGGTTGAGCGCTGGGTTGCGAAGCTGCCCGCAGCCTCTGCACGCTGGTTCGACCACCGGAGGAGGGTCCCACATGACGCACAGACCTCACCTGCCCACGCTGCTCCCCTCAGCAGTGTACTTCGGTCCTTCTGCCTGCTCTGCTCCCCGCTCTGGCTCTGGTGAATTCTCTCACCCTCCCGCGCTTCTCACTGTACCCAGGGCTTGGATGGAGGATAGATAGATAGATAGATAGATAGATAGAATAGATAGATAGATAGATAGAGAGATAGATAGATAAAAATCTTAAAAAAAAAAATAGATAACAACTCTTCTCAATTTTTCACAAAATTGGAGAGAAAAAAATACTTCCTCAGCATTTCCCTAATACTGAAACCAAACAAACACTATAAGAAAATAACAGACCAATGTCCTTTATAAATACTGATGCAAGTATCCTCCACAAATACTGGCAATAGAATTCAACAGCTCATGAAAGGGTTCATATACCACAATCAAGCGGGCTTTATCCCTTTAATGCAAGGAAGATTCAACATACAACTACACTAACAAAATGAAAAATAAACCACAAAATCATCTAATTGATGCAGAAAGCATTTGACAAAATTCAACACTCTCTTGTGATAGAAAGACATAGCAAGCTAGAAACAGAAGAAAACTACCTCAATACAATAAAGACCATATATGAAAGGCTCATAACTAACATCATGATCAATCGTGAAAGTCTGGAAGCATTTCCTCTAGATCATGAACAAAACAAAGATGACCAGTTTTACTACCTCTAATCACATAGTACCTGAAGTCCTAGTGACAGCAATTAGGCAAGAAAAGGGAGAGGGAGAAAGAGATCCAGATTAGAAAGGAAGAGGTAAAATTATCAAATTATGTTTGTTGATATTATAATTTATATGTAAAGAACTCTGAAAATTGCATACCAAAAATATATTATAACAAATGAATTCAGCTAAGTTGAAGAATATAAAATTATTTGCAAAAATCAGTGCATTTCTATATGTTAACAATGAATATTGTGAAAGGAAATTGAAGAATAAAATACTTCAGGATAAACTTAAACAAGTAGGTAAAAGCCTTGGAACCAAAAACTATAAAATGTTTCTGAAATTATACACCCATAAATGGAAAGATATCTTGTGTTCATGAATTGCAAGGCTTAGTAGTATTACAATGTCAATACTACCCAAAGTTATTTATAGATTCACTGCAAATGTCATCAAAACCTCAATGACATTTTTGCAGAAATAGAAAAAAAATCCTAAAATTCATATGTAATTTAAGGGACTCCAAATACCCAAAACAATATTGAAAAAGAATAAAGTTGGAGGCTTCATACTTCCTAATTTCAAAACTTACTACAAAGTTATGGTAAACAAAAAGTGTGGAACTGCCATAAAAACAGACATATAGACCAACAGAACAGAGTAAGAGCCCAGAAATATACCCTCACAAATAGGGGTAAATGATTTTTGACAAATGCCAAGACCATACAATGGGAAAAAGAACCATCTTTTCAACAAATTGTGCATGGAAAATTGGATAGCACACGAATGACGTTAAAACCATTTATCTTGGGCCTCCCCGGTGGCGCAGCGGTTGAGCGCTGGGTTGCGAAGCTAACCGCCTCTGCAGCGCCAGTTCGATCCCCGGCTGCTCCCCGGCCACTGGAGGAGGGTCCCACATGGCGCGCAGACCTCTCCTGCCGCCCGCTGCTCCCCTCAGCAGTGTACTTCGGTCCTTCTGCCTGCTCTGCTCCCCGCTCTGGCTCTGGTGAATTCTCTCACCCTCCCGCGCTTCTGACTGTACCCAGTGCATGTATAAACAAAACAAACAAACAAACAAACAAATAAATAAATAACATGCCTCTATTTAAAAAAAAAAAAAAAACCAATTTATCTTAGACCAAATATAAAATTTAACTCAAAATGGATCAAAGATCTAAATATAAGACCTAAAATATTAAATTCTTAGAAGATATAGGGGAAAGATTTACAATGTTGGATTTGACAATGATTTTCTTGGATATGATACCAAAAGTACAGACAACAGAGGGGGGAAAAAAGATAAACTGGACTACCTCAAAATTTGTAGCTTTTGCACATAAAAGTAAAAAGGCAACCCATAAAATGGAAGAAAATACTTGCTATCTGATAAGAGGCTTACATGAGGAATATATAAAGAATTCCTGTAATTCAACAACAAACTATCCAACAGTCTTCAAAAATGGGCAAAGGACCTGAATAGACTTACATGCAACAAGATATACAAATCGCCAATGAACACCTAAGAAGATGCTCAACATCATTAATTATGAGAGAAATGCAAAAGAAAACCTCAAGATACAGCTTCACACCCATTATTATAAAAGAAAAAGGTGACCACCTCCAGGTCCATCACACACCACACATTTGTGGGGTACCTGGTGCTAAACCATTTGTAGGCGGCCTGATTCTGGCTGGGGGTTTCATGAGAGCAGCCCTGGACACAGGGTTTGTAAAACTAAAGAAAATATACAAGAAAATAAAAAAAAAAGAAAAAAGTAAAAATAATAAATTTAAGGGCCACAGAACCTGTAAGTATAAAAACAAAAGTAAAGAGGAAAAATGTGCAGGGACTTGACAGCGTCCAATTTTAGCATTCAGAGAGGGGAAATGTTAAGGTGAATATATGAACAGTTAAGTCTGCAGGCTTCTTTGAAACATGAAAAAAATCGAGTATGTTTTGTTCTCAAACTTCTCCAGTAATCTAACAAAAAGTCTAAAGAACTCATACCAAGCTATTAACACTGCCAAATGCTCAGGATTAGGAAGGATTTGCACTTTTGTTTTATTTTTATTTTTTTGTAGTATTTGAAAACAAATATTTGCTGGAACTTCCTATGAGTCTTTTTCTAATTAGCCCAGATGAAACTTGAAAAATTTGTATTATTTTTTGCTATGAGAAAAGGTCCAAAGGATGCTGTTTATTAATTATGTAAACTAAAATTAAAGTGAAATCACCAACAATTGCCAAAATTAAATTTCCTTTTTAAAAAAAAAAAAACCTAAATCGGGCCCCCCGGTGGCGCAGCGGTTGAGCGCTGGGTTGAGAAGCTGCCTGCAGCCTCTGCGGCACCGGTTCAATCCCCGGCTGCTCCCCGGCCACTGGAGGAGGGTCCCACATGGCGCGCAGACCTCTCCTGCCGCCCGCTGCTCCCCTCAGCAGTGTACTTCGGTCCTTCTGCCTGCTCTGCTCTCCTCTCTGGCTCTGGTGAATTCTCTCACCCTCCCGCGCTTCTGACTGTACCCAGTGCTTGCATAAATAAAAAAAATAAATAAAAATAAATAAATAAATAAAAACCCTAAATCTTGACCTCTGCAGTTGTGTCCTTCATTTTACTATTTTACCCTGAAAATACCTAAAATAAAGACCCATATTTAAAGAATATTTTCATTTTACCTTTTAGCTACCAAAGGTCTTCCATACTGTCCTCTACGAAGCCTGATCAATGAAGACATCTTAACTCCTAGAAAAATAAATAACTTTTTAGGATTAAGTTAGAAAAGCATTTTCACAATACTTTTACAAGCAACAATGCTTGTTCCCAACTAACACCCTCGTCCCCCATTATATCAATTTTCACAAACATATAATACTGAAGACCAGCTACCCACAATCCAGAGACACCCTCATAATTCTATTTCTCTGCTAAAGAAAAAGTTTAAGTCAATAAAACATCTGGGGGAGATCCAAGGAGCACCAGCAGAATGTACCTTAGTCTGGAGAAAAGAGAAAGAGGTAAGTGGAAATGTATGATCAAACAAACAAACAAACACCAATTTTATTTCCGTTCTATTTTTGTGCCCTCTCACTTCCTTCAGAACCATGTGCTGTTTGATAAAGACAAGGCAAAGCCGAACCACCCAAACACGCTGTCCAAAGCCAAATTTGGGACCAGCAGGAGTTTTTATCCTTAATGAATTCATTTGTGCATTGTCTACCTCCTAGAAGATGTGGAGGTATTTAAGACTAAAGGCAAAAACAAGCATTATAGTAAGGAGAAAAAGAAGCATCAAGCTAAGGGAACTTTCTATTTTTTTATCGATAAAATTCATTTAACATAAAATTCACCCTTTTAAAGATAAATTCTATATTCTGAGTTGTTTAGTATGTTCACAAAGTCTTACAAGCATCCCCACTTGTCTAATTCTGGAATATTTATATCACCCCCTTCCCAAGGCCAGGAGCAGTCACTCTGTATTCTCCCTTCTTCGAGACCCTGGCAACCACTAATCTATTTTCTGTCTCCATGTGTTTGTGCATTCTGGATGTTTCCTATTAATGGAATAACTTATGTCCTCTTTTGCATCTGTCTTCTTCCACTTAGTGTATTTTCAAGGACTATCCCTGTTCTACGATTTATCAGTACTTCAATTTTATGATTAAATAATATTCTATTGAATGGCTATATCACATTTGGTTAGCCATTCATCAGCTGGTGGTCATTTAAGTTGTTTCCACTTTGAGGGGACTATGAATCACGCTGCTGTGAACATTGGTGTACAGCAGTTGGTTGAACATATTTTCAATTTTCATTGGTAATCACTTAGGAGTGGATCTGCTGGGTCATATGGTAACTGTATTTTAACTTTTTTTTTTAGGAACTCCCAGATTGTTCTCCACATCTGCTGTACTATTTTACATTCCTAGCAGCAATTAATAAGGGTTCCAATTTCCCCATATCTTTGCCAACACTCATTTTTATCAATTATTACCATTATTATTGCTATTACGATTATTTATTATTAAGTAGTATCTCAGTGTGGTTTTTATTTGCATTTCTCTAATGATGTTGAGGATCTGTTCACTGATGATGCTGGGGATCTTTTCAAAGAAATATTTATTTCATCTTTTGCCCATTTTTAAGTTGAGTTGTCTTTTTGTTGTTGAGTTGCAAGAGTTCTTTAGTATTCTGCATACTAAGTCTTTTGCAAATATTTTGTTTCCCATTCTGTGGGTTACCTTTTCATTTTCTTTTTTTTTAAAGATTTATTTATTTATGCATACAAGAACTGAGGTAACAGGCCAGAAGTGTGTGGGGTGAGAGGACCCACCCGAGAAAGAGCAGGGAACAGAACAATCACACTGACCGAAACACGCTGCTGAGGGGAGCAGCGGGAGAGTCAGGAGAGGTCTGCTGTGCCATTTGGGCAGCTCCCTGGCCGGGGACCGAACTCATGCTGCAGTGGCTGCAGACAGCCTCGTAGGCTGCGTCCCAACCCCCTGCGCCACCAGGGAGGCGCTTCTTGCTGGTGTTCTTTGAAGCACGAAAGTATTTAATTTTGACACATCACCCAAAGCAGTGACAGTGAAGGCAAAGATCAACAGCTGGGACTACATCAAATTAAAGAGCTTCTGCACAGTAAAAGAGACAATAACAAAAACAAAGAGAAACCCCACCGACTGGGAGAACATTTTTGCACACAACGCTAATGATAAAGGACTGATCACAAAAATCTGCAAAGAGCTGATGAGACTCAACAACAACAAAGAAAATAATCCTGTCAAAAAATGGGCAGAAGAGCTAAAAAGAAACTTCTCTGAAGAGGAAATGCAAATGGCCAACAGGTATATGAAAAAATGTTCAACATCAGAGAAATGCAAATCAAAACTACCATGAGATACCATCTTACACCAGTGAGAATGGCACATATTAAAAAAACTAGCAACAACAAATGTTGGCGAGGTTGTGGAGAAAAGGAACTCTCCTGCACTGCTGGTGGGAGTGCAAACTGGTCCAACCACTATGGAGAGCTGTGTGGGGATTTCTTGACCTACTAAACATAGAGCTTCCATAGGATCCAGCAATTCCACTCCTAGGTATTTACCCAAAGGACACAGAAACATCAATTCCAAAGAGCCCCTGCACCCCTATGTTTATAGCAGCACTGTTTACAATAGCTAAGCTTTGGAAACAGCCCAAATGCCCAAAAATAGATGACTGGATCAAGAAGATGTGGTACATATACACCATGGAATATTACTCAGCATTCAAAAAAGATAAACACATGCAACTTGCAGCAACATGGATGGCATTGGAAGGGATCATGCTCAGCGAAATAAGCCAGAAAGAAAAGAAAAATACCGGATGGCCTCACTCATAGCAGGAATCTAGAAAACTTAAATAAGGGACCAGGAAAATGAATAACTATAAGAAAGTGAAAATCCAAATCAAAAAACAACTATGAACCAGAGACACTCTATGGAGGGTGAGGGGCAGGGAGGGGAGGGATTGGGGTCAAAATAAGGGGGTTGCAATTGTATGGGGAATATAAAAAATAAAATTTATTAAAAAAAGTATTTAATTTGGATAAGTCCAGTTTATCTACTTTTTCTTTGGTTGCTTGTACTTTAAGTGTTCTATCTATAAACCACTGTCTCATCCAAGGTTATGAAGAGTTAGATCTCTATTTTTTTATCTTAATTTTGCTTTGAGATTTAAATACACAATACAAGGGAAGGCTTTTTTAAGGTCCTTGCTTACTGAGTACAGCACCCACTTTTTAATTGTCTCCTCACTCCATCTACTGGTAGCTCCAAAAAACTTTGGAGTCAGCCTAAGGGGTCTTCGCACATGCTGTGACCATCACCAGGAATACCTACCCCACTTAGCAGCCTCCATTCACACCTCCCTGCCCTTCCTTCAATTTGGTTAAATTTCATTTTCTCAGCGAAGCCTTCCTGATTTCCCTAACAAGTGAGGGGACTTCCTCCCCTCTGCCCTGCATACTTATCATATTGTAACTTTATATTTATTTCTGTGGTTATTTAATTAACATTGTCTCCCCCATGAACTGAGTCCCCCCCATGAACTGAGAAGAGAGAGAATGCCTCTTTCTTTGCTCACCTTATTATTTTCAGTGCCAAACGTCACATAGTAGGTACTTAATCAAACATTTGTCAGTTGAACGAATAAGTAAGCACAGAATATAGAGCAAGGGAATAAAATAAAAGGTTATATACAAGAATCTTTTGGAGAGCGAGAGAAGGGACACAAAAGTGAGTGAGAGAAGGGGCCTCCCTGATGGCGCAAGGGGTTAAGACGCAGCGTTACAAAGCTATTCACAGCCACTACAGTATGAGTTCAATCCCTGGCCAGGGAGCTACCCACATGGAGCAGCAGACCTCTCCTGTCTCACCTGCTGCGCCCCCTCAACAGTGTACTTCAGTCAATCTGCCTGTTCCACTCCCTACTCTGTCTCTGGTGAATCCTCTCACCCCCATACCTCTGGCCTGTACCCCAGTTCTTGTATGCAAAAAATAATAAATCTTTTCTTTTTTAAAGTGGGTGAGAGAAATCAGAGCATGCAAGCTTCCTGGAAAAGATGACACCAGAGTTGAATCTTAAACAGCAGTCTTAAAATTGGGTACAAGAACCTCAGGACTGGAAGACTCTCTAAGGGGCTTATGAGTATCAGTACTTTGAAGACAATAAATTTCAGACACTTAGAGACTCAGCCCAACAGGTTAAGAAAAGGAAAGACCCCTACCACCCCTCTCCCTCAAGTCCTGCCCAGTAGCACTAGGCCACTGCACAAAAACAAAACACAAACAATAAACCAATCTCTCACCATCCAGAATCTTACCCCAGGGCATATCCCTGTGTAAAGTCTTCAGAATGCGATTAAAGAAAGTGGAGAAGGCAGATAAAGCAAAATATTTCAACAGATACCGAAGGGAGCTGAGTCTTATTCCATCCAGTTCCCAGCATGGCAGCATCATCCATCTTTGTCCATTGCGAGATGGACACTAAGAAATTTGTTTAAAAATAGGGCCTCCCTGGTGAGGCAAAGGGTTAAGTCTTGGCACTATGAAGCTATCCACAGCCACTGCAGCATGAGTTGGATCCCCGGCAAGGGAGCTGACCACATGGTGCAGCAGACCTCTCCTGTCTCACCCGCTGTTCCCCTCAGCAGTGTATTTCAGTAGATCTGCCTGTTCTGCTCCCCACTCTCTCTCGTGAATCCTCTCACCCTCCCCCCTACCTCTGGACTGCAACCCCAGTTCTTTGAATGCATAAATAAATAAATCCTTAAAAAAAAAAGAATGTTTAAAAATAAAGTCACCACAGGGGCCTCCCCGTGGCGGCAGCGTTGAGCGCTGGGTTGAGAAGCTGCCCGCAGCCTCTGCAGTGCCGGTTCGATCCCCGGCTGCTCCCCGGCCACCAGAGGAGGGTCCCACATGGCGCGCAGACCTCTCCTGCCGCCCGCTGCTCCCCTCAGCAGTGTACTTCGGTCCTTCTGCCTGCTCTGCTCCCCGCTCTGGCTCTGGTGAATTCTCTCACCCTCCCGCACTTCTGACTGTACCCAGTGCTTGCTAATAAATAAATAAATAATTTTAAAAAATAAATAAAGTCACCACACAAGACACACACACACACACACAAAAAAAAAAAACTAAAAATGTGTGGCAGTTCTAAATTAGCGTCAGAAGTATAAGACTCTTAGAAGAAAATCTAGGAGCAAT